CACAAGGGCATGTACCTGGGTTGCGGGCACATCCCCAGTAGGAGATGTGCAGGAGGCAGCTGATCGATGTTTCTCTCTCATTGATGTTTCTAACTCTCTATCTCTCTCCCTTCCTCTCTGTAATAAATCAATAAAATATATTTTTAAAAAAATAAAAAAATAACAGGCTTATTATATAATCCCCTCCTAAAGTATACAGTTCATTCATTTTTAGAATATTCAGAGTTGCAGAACCATCCCCACAATATTATAACAACTTCATCATCCCCCCACCCCCCGAAAGAAACCTTGTACCTATTAACGATCACTCCCCATCTCCACCCTCAATCCCCACTCCTGCTCTAGACAATCACTAATCTACGTTCTTTCTTTCTGGATTTACCTATTCTGGACATTTATATAAAATGGAATCATACAATCTGTGGCCTTCTGTGTCTACCTTCTTTCATGCACCATAATGTTTTCAAGGTTCGTCCATGTAGCATGTGTCAGTATGTCGTTCCCTTTTATTGCCAAAAATTTCTACAGTCCATTGTACTCTGAACTACTAGTAAACTTCACGTCCCAGGATTAACTGTCTTTTAAAAGATGCTCTTTATAGTCTACGGAAGGTGTAACCTCTAGTCCTTGCCTTCTCTTCCCTTATGCCAAAGTTGCCTGAGATGGTCTATTTTTTAAAATTGTGGTAAAATGTACAGAGCATGAAATTTACCACCTTCACCATGTTCCAGTGTACAGGTTGGTAGTGTTAAGTGTATTCACATTGTTGTGCACCCATCTTTGCACAACTCTTTGTCTTGCAGACCTGGAATTCCGTACCCAGGAAATAACAATCCCATTCCCCCCATTCCCCAGCATCCACACCCACCCTCTACTCTCTCTCCTAATCTGACAGCCTTCACGCCTCACATAAGTGGAATCCTACAGTGTCTAAGGCAGCCTGTTTCTAAATGAGGTGGAACTAGGTGAGGTGGACTTGTGAGAGCGCCCCTGAAATTTCTCTCCTGGGCCTTGAGCATCCTTCATGTCTGCGCTTCCCTGTGAAGCCGTGGAGCAGGGTGGGTTCTAGCCCTGGTGGTGCTTCCCAAGGAAATGCTACCCGCCCGGGGTGAGGGGCCCTGTCTGAAATGACAGCACAGGTCCTATGAAAAAACGTCTCGTGAGGAGCTAAGAAGGAAGTGAACCGCCGCTCGTCTTCCGTAGGAGAAATCGCAGATACAGAAGGATCTCTGGAGGATTGAAGACGTCACCGCAGGCCTGAGTGCGAACAAGGAGAACTTCAGAATCCTGGTGGAGTCGGTCAAAAATCCTGGTGAGTGGGCCGTCTCCTGGGGGCCAGTGCCCAGGCAGGAGGGGTGGCCCCGGGCGTCCGGTCCTCCTGTGTGTCACTCCTCCGGGAAATAGGTCTTGGTTCCATCCTAACCTTTGCTTCCCCCTCTGCCCCTTAGAGAGAAAAACAGTGCCTTTGTTTCCTTACCCGCCTGTGCCTTCACTCTCGACTTCTGAGAGCAAGCCGCCCCCGCAGCCCAGCCCTCCCACCAGCCCTGTGCGGACCCCTCTGGAGGTTCGGCTCTTCCCTCAGCTGCAAACCTACCTGCCCTACCGACCTCACCCGCCCCAGCTGAGGAAGGTGACGTCTCCTCTTCAGTCACCAACCAAGACAAAGCCCAAAGTTGTAAGTATGATGACCAGGACCAGGAACTGAGCACCGTCTTTTCCTCTCTGTTCTCAGGTCAGCTTCTCTCGGGAGAGAAGTTTTTAGGGAAACGGCGGGGTGGGGGAGATAGGACCAGCCAAAGTCCTGAGCCATGAGAGGTTAAGGAGTGGAAGGATCCTGCCATTGACCCTCAGACTCCCAGAATTAGAAGGTGCCCTTGGATATAAGCTAGCCCAACCCTCCCATTTCACAGCTGGGAAAACTGAGGCCCAGCAAGAGGAAGTGACTGTGCTGAGTAGGTAGAATCTGCACCGTGCAGATAGGGGTGTGGCTGCTCCTTGCAAATCTGCAGTTACACATGTTTGTGGGCAATGAGCTCATCTTAGCAGAAGAGTCTCCCTTATCTTCACCTACAGGTGAGCATGCTGCTGGGTAATAGGTAGAGTTGAGCCTCAAAATAACCTCAGGAGTACAGACAGGAAGGTCAGTATCCCCATGCCACAGATAAGAGAACTGAGGCCCAAAGGTGTTAAATTTGCTTAAAGTCTCATTGTTGGTTAGTAGAGTCAGCACATCTCCCGATCATTCCCTGTGCCATCTGCCATCTTATCGGACATTCGCCCCAGGTCCCCAGGTCAGGTTTGTGGCCCTGTGACTGCCTAACCCTGCACCTTGGCTTGCCTGGCATAAGAGAGAGTCCAAGCCCTTGGCAGAGTCTGGGACAACAGGAGACATTAAGGAAATAGAAGATGTGGTCGGGTACCAGGATAGCTCAAGTCTCCAAGGCCAGGCCAGCTCTGGCTGGAGAACCCAAGGGATCTAGTCCAAGTGACTGGAGAGCCATAGCAGAGGGCACCTTGGAAAGGGAGACCTCCAGGATTTTGCTTAGAGGAGCTTTGCCTGGGCACCATGTGTGCCTAGTACCTGTGACGCTTGCACAGCAGTGGCTTAAACACACAAGTTCCCAATCCCATCCTCACCATCTACCTGCCATGGCCCAAGGCCCAGAGCTGGAAGACAGGTGCCAGGACTCAGGGTCACTGTGAATTTCTTTATCTTAAGATCTCCCTCCTCATCCCAGATCTAGGAGGCCCGGAGCACCAGCCACACACCAGGAGGTAGAAATAGCAAATTAAACAGGAGTGCCTGGGGAAGGCGGCTGCTGACATAAGGCAGGCACCTGCCAGCCGGGACCAGCAGCAGAGGGAAAGGTGCTAGCCTGGGAACCGGACCAGCTGGATTCCAGCCCTTGTTCTTCTGGGTCCTCTCTGAGCTTCCTCAGTTTCCCCGTATGCACAGCAACCAGCTCTGACTAGACACTCACAGAGGCCCATCCTCACAGCGTGGTCCTCTGTGGCTCGGAGCAGGGCTTTTCCTGTTGGGTCAGCATCACAGCCAATGGGGGTCTTCTCTCCCCTCCTCTGGTAATGCGTGTGTGTTCACCAGTTTCACCTGACCTGGTCATTGTTTGCTCTCTTTATATTTGTGAAATAATGACAACCTGAAATTGACGTAAAGCATGAATATATCACTTAACACATATTAATAAAAAGACCACCCACGTTATACCAACACCCAGACTAAGAAATAGAGCTTTGCAGCAACCAGAGCCCTCAGGCCTGCGGGCTCCTTCCCCATGCAAGGCCCCTTCTGCCAGAGGTAGCCACTGGCTTGGCATTTGGGATCATTTCTTTGCCTTCTTTAAGTTTTGCTACCTATGTTTGCATCTCTAAATACTTTAGTTTCGCCTGTATTTATTCTTTTATATCTTGCATCTTTTCTTCAATATTATACTTGTGTGGTTCATCCCCATTATTGCATGTAGCTGTAGTTCTTTTATTTTTATTTGGCTTAGTTTCTTGAATTTAATGTCACTTACCTCTTTATTAGATAATCCTCTCAAAGGGCACAAAATCAGAAGATATGAAACAATACAGAATAAAGTGCCTCCCCCCGCCCTCTGTCTCCAGACATCTTATTGCCTTCCATCAAGGGCAATCAATGTTTTGCGTTTGTCATTCTGGGGAGCTTTTTAGAAATTGGTGATTCTGAGACCTTTGTCAGGGTTGGAAACCGGGATGCTCAGAGAGCCTGTGGGGAGAGCACTCACACAGTGATGAAATGTGTTGCATAAGAAGAATTCTGCTAAGCCTTTGCGAGGCAAGCTTGCAGCGCCCTTCCCCGAACTCTGCAAAATTCTGAAAAACAAAGCAAAATGAGTCTAAGAAAGGGGGCGTTTAGGAGGAAGGGGTCTCAGTGGCCACTTGTCCCAGGACTAGATGTCCATGGCAGCTGGGAGCCAGGCTGTCGATCCTTAGAGAAGCCACGGACCTCAGAGGGTCATGGACCAGGCAGGGTGGGGGTGGGGGGCCGGGGGGGTCAAGGAAAATAGTGACAGTCATCATCCGCAGGGAGTGGGCTGCAGGGCAGGCAGTGAGTCTCCCGTTCTGACCGCCTGTTCAGCCCCCAGGTCAGGAAGGAGGAAATGTTTTGTGACGGTTCACATTTCTGATAGAGAGGGCAAGAGGAGGGAGACTCCTTGCTCAGCTCTCTACCTGCTGAGGGGTCCTGAGACCAGGCAGGAACGGTGCGCTCAGCCTGAGCACTGTGGAGGGGGTGACATGGCGGGGGGGACGGCGCGGGGGGGCTGTCATAGACTTACCAGTAAGTGCAGGGTTGCCAGCCTGCTCCCCCTATGGTGCATTCCAGGCGAGTAGAGACCTGAGTTCTGGATTTGGGGATGCAGTATAGGCAGCACTTCGACAAATGGAAAATGCGACTCAAAGGGAAGAACAGATTTGGAGCCAAGGTGTCACCTTGTTCATGGCTCTGCCAGGGGGAATGCTGGCCCCTCTGGGCTGAAGTGGCTGTGCTCTTCAGGCCTGGGATGGGGGCCTGTTCCGGCCATTGGGCCGCCACTGGGGTGGGGCCACCGGGCCTCCTCCCTCCAGCTCCCTCTCACTGGGCACTTTCCCTGAGCAGGAAGACGAGGCACCTCCCAGGCCCCCACTCCCTGAGCTCTACAGCCCGGAGGACCAGCCCCCGGCCGTGCCGCCTCTGCCCAGGGAGGCCACCGTCATCCGGCACACTTCCGTGCGGGGCCTCAAGCGGCAGTCGGACGAGAGGAAGCGAGATCGGGAGCAGGGGCAGTGTGTGAACGGGGACTCGAGGGTGAGCGGAGAGGACCCTGGGGCTGCCCTCTGTGGGTGGGGCGAGGGAGGGTGGTGGTATGCTGGGCAGGTGTGACGGCCTCAGACTCTGCTCGCAGGTGGAGCTCCGGTCCTATGTTAGTGAGCCCGAGCTGACGACTTTCGGTGGGGACGTGGCCCAGCCACCCCTGGGGTCCGTGGGCTCTGAGAGCAGGTACCAGACGCTGCCCAGCAGAGGTAAGTCACCACTCTCCACGGAGGCTTCTGGGAACCCCAGCTCTGCCGATCACTGCTCCCCAACCCTCACCTGGTGCCTCTCACCCTTCTGCCTGCAGCGTTGGACCTTGGGCCCCAGCTGCACGGGTTCTGGGCTTCGGGGAGGGCCTGTCGTTCCTTTCTCGGGCCCACATACTGGTTCTCTTTCTCTTTATTACATCTGTTCCTGGGCATAATGCTAATAGCAATGGCTATAAAGCTCGGCACTGTGTCGAGTTAGGTCCTTTATAATCATTTAGTTAATATTCATAATCTATGAGGAAAGTACTATTATTATCTCCATTTCAGAGATAAGAGAACTAGGGCCCAGAGAAATTAACTTGCTAATTAGCTAAAGTGTTGGAGCCGGATTCCAGCCCAGTGTTCTGGCTGCAGAGCGGCGGCAGTGTAGGCTGGGAGAGCGGTAACCAAGGGCCTTTAGAGGGTTATGTCCTCTTTGTCACTCTAGCACTCAGTGAATCCTTTCTTTACACAGACACACTGTTCTCTTCAATCGGGTCTTCTTCTCACTGTCCTTCTCACTGTTCCCATGGGGATGGGAACAGACTTAGGCCCTTAGGCTCGCTTGTAGCTCATTTTCCCCAAAGCCAGACCCTCTTCCTCAGAAGTCTCCATACAGGGAGGCCTCCTGGAGCCCCTGAGCAGGCAGACCATGCTTCCGCCTCTGACCCTCCTGTCTGCTTCCGGAGGCGGAAGGTCAGGTGCTTTTCCCCCCTTGGCCAGGTGGACGGACACATAGCTGGGTGTGTGACTCCCACCTCACCACACTGTCTGGGCTGCTGTGGCCTGAGCTGGTCCCTGCTGAGTTGGGGCCATGGGTGCCCTTGATACTGTGCTCGGAGGCCTTCAGCCTTCCTTCATTATGGCCTGGAGGTGTTTCTCAGTGACCGTATTGATGACATTGTGGGCAGGACAGTTCTTTGTTGCTTGGGATTCTCTGGACATGGTAGGACATTCATCATTGTCTTTCCCACGTGCTGTGTGCTGGTGGTGTTCTCGTCAGGGTGTGAGGACCACCCCTGATAAGAATCATCGCTCATGGATAAAACACAGGCTGTGGCAGCAGCCGGCCAGGGTGAGATGACTCCTCAGAGCCGTAGGACCCAGACACAGGAAGCACGTGTCAGTGAGGCCCCTGCCATGTACCTTGGACAAATCTCTTAACCTCTGTGAGCCTTAGATCGGGCAGCTCTGTCATGGTCAAATGATGCTTTACTGTGTAGGACCAGTGGGACCATCTACATAGCAGTGCCCGACATAGTACGTGCTCAGTAAATGTTTGGTGCCTTCTTCTATCCCTTCATCCATTTACTCATTCAGTCAGCCAACCAGGCATTGTTGGGTTTGCAGTCTAGTTAGGACACTGTCTGTGGTCAGTAACCAGTGCATCTGCTGAGGGGTATTGGGAATAGTTGGTTCTGCCTCAGCATTTCAGGGGCCTGCACACAGGCAGGGTGTCTGAACTGGGTCATGCAGGATGCTGAGAGTTCAGCAGCAGGAAGGGGTGAAGGGTATTCCGACCCCTCCATCCTTTCCATCCTCTGCATGTGAGGGAAGACTAGGGTGGTCCACAGATCTCTAGGCACACTATCCCCCATTGGGGACAGAGGGCACCCCTGGACTGGCCCCTCATCCTCTACCTGGAGCCTTGCTCTTTCAGGCCCTGGAGAGGAAGAGCAGTGGGTTGTTGGCTGAGCCCCCGTGGTCCCGTCATGGCCGTGGGAGGTGATTGGGGAGGGGCTGGTGGCCTGGCCACCCCACGCCGAATACACTCGCCTTTCTCTTTCCTCCCTAAGGGCTCTCGGGGTCCACATCAAGGCTCCAGCAGTCGTCCACCATTGCGCCCTACGTCACCCTCCGGAGGGGTCTGAATGCCGAAAGCAGCAAGATGACCTTCCCTGTGAGTGGCCTTGAGAAGTTTCCGAGGAGCTCTCTGCTCCCTCACGCACAGAGGGACGGGCTCCTTGGTGGACGGTGACTGCGATCCTGTGAGGCCTGGGATGGTCTCTGAGGTTGTCTCGGCTCCTCCTGAGCTCAGGGCCCCTGTCACCATGTGCTCCGTGATGTCTCCCCCACAGTCCACCAAGAAGGGCATCACGCTGCCCTTTCTGTTTCCTGAGGACACCCCCCACCTTTCTCCCCATCCTCTCAGGCTCAAAGGAGGGAGCCCAGGAAGTCTGCACCCTGGGTTCTGACCTCACCACGTGCCGCCTGTATGCCTGCTGGACAGGCCTGAGCCTCAGTGTCTGCATCTGCAGAATGGGCTGCTGCCCAGGAAGCCCGAGGGGCCAGGGGCGTCGTGTCGATGAGTAGGCTTAGAGACAGTGGTTCTCCACGGCCGAGAAGAGCCCAACTAGATAGAGTGTGTTTGTGTGTGAGAGAGAGAAAGACAGACGGACACAGAACGGGCATGAAGCCGCGGTGTGGCTGCCCTGTGTGTTCCCAGCCCAGCTGCCCTGTCTCTCGCCTCTTCCTCCTCAGAGACCCAAGAGTGCCTTGGAGCGTCTGTACTCAGGGGACCACCAGCGGGGCAAGATGAGTGCGGAGGAGCAGCTGGAGCGCATGAAGCGGCACCAGAAGGCCCTGGTCCGGGAGCGCAAGAGGACCCTGAGCCAAGGAGAGAGGACGAGCCTGCCCTCGTCTCGCTACCTCAGCCACCCGCTCCCTGGAGATCTTGGCTCAGTATGTTAGGAGGGTCCAGGCAGGTGGGGCCGGGACAGGGAGCAGAGCTTCCCCGAGTCCCCCGAACACTAGCACGTCACACCCCTGGGCGAGTGGGCCGCTGACCTAGAGGATTCCGAGAGCACCTCTCGGGGCTGTTCTGTTTGCACGCTGGGACACGTGTGTGGCCGGGTCAGAGGGTGATGGGGAAGCAGAGCTGGAGTGAGGATGTCACTGCAGGCGTCACGGAGCCTGGGGAAATGTCCCGTCAGTTCTCTGAGTGGAGCTTGACAGAGGCCTTTGTAGACGTTTGGAGTCTCAGCTGAATCAAGGACTTGGGAATAGGTACTTGGTTTGAGGATTCAAGGAGTGGAGGAGGAAGATGGTGAGACGATATGGTCAGGAGGAGCACAAGCCCACCAGCCTCCCAAACTCCCACGCGGTTGCCCTAGGGGGCCGCTGAGCACAGGGTCACGCCCCACACCCCAGGGCTGTGGTCTCCTGCTGCTTGTGGTGCTCACAGGCCCCTGGTGCCCTGAGAGAGCCGGGGAACGTGTGCTGCCCCTGGTGGTGCTTCCAGGTACTGCATCCCGCCCACAGCCGCCTTAGGTCCAATTTGGATACATCCCATTTGACTTTCTGCTGTTTGAAATCAAGTGTTTCCCTGGACCGCTAGCCTGACTGTCCTTTCCCTAATTCATTGCACAAGCTCTTCTGCTTTTCGTGTTACGGCTTGCGCATTGCCTCTCTAACCCTGCCTGATTGTGTTTACAGAAGCTTCTCATTTGCATTGAACGTTCTCGTACTGGCCTGTGCTCTTTGTTACCAGGCTTATCATAGCAGCTCTTGTCTCCATAGCCTAGCGAGTTCCCCCATGTGTGACTCACCTTTCCGCTGCCCGCTTCGTGCAGGGCCTCCTGACTCACAATTAATTCCCTCGTCCCAGAAGCTGCCCTGCGAGACGGAGCCACCCTGCCGCCCGAGGGCCGTGGTCACTGGCAGAGGTCTGGGCATTATGAACTTACCAAAGTCCATGTCTCACGTCTAGTCAGTAGACACGGACCTCAGAGATTGTACATTTGAATAAATTCTATCAAGTCTAAGTTGGTTTGCTTTTAATTCCTCCAGCCCCATGGCACAATTCTAATGGAAAACTTTTTTGTGTTTTTAGTACTTAATAACTTGAACAGATAGTGAGCTATAGTATGTTCTGTATTTAGAGGGTCCCTATGCAGCTGTTAGCTCAGACACCAAAGGGGGAAGTCCCAGGACACTCGTCTCCTGAAAAGCTGCAAAGCCAGTAACTTTTAAACTTTATAAGCAAATGTCATGTGGGGGAACACTGACCTTTTACAAACTAATGTCTCAAGTGTAGAAAGGTTATCTGAAAATCGTAACTTGAATACCTTGTAATTTTTCTCTTAAAAAAAGAAAGGACTTGTGTAAGTCTCTGTATCGACGCCAATAAACGTGTTGCTAATAATAATGGATTGGCGTGGTTCTTCCCCAGGACACACCGCAGAGCCTAGTGGCCTTTCTCTGTTTGTGGAAACAATCAGGCTGGGTTTAAACGAGGACTTCTCTATCTGGGCCACACGTGAGCCTGTAAAGAAATGTGCTTTTATTTCTTCTGTGAATCATTAAATTCATTTTTTCATCCCTGAAATGTCAACTGCCTAATCCTTTTCATACTGTGATTGGAAACCTAAGAGCGATTAGATTGGCTTGGCATCAGTATTGAGAGCTTGTGCATGAATGGGTGAAATGTGCTGATACTGGCTATGGGTTTGGGGCTGTGGGGGCACTTGAAACATCATCAGAGACAATCATGACCACTGGGGGCTCTGTGAGGTGGGGGGTGTGGGAGGGCGGAGATGACCTGGGATGGCGAAGCATCTGTTCAATTTCTGCTCAAGAGAAGAGAGGCTGTGAGCCTGTTCCATCCGCTCAAAACCTGCTCAGCGTCAAAGGCCTGTGAGCATGCGGGCCACACAGGGCTGCCTCCAAGTCGCACAGTTCTCCTTGGGTCTTTAAATGGCCAGTTAGATTTTCCCTCTGTGAGGAGACACTTGTTAAAAGGTCGATACCGCGGAACAGCCTTGAACATGTTGCATTTGATTTAGCATTTCAGTTTTACATGTCTTTGTTTCTTTTCTAACTTAAAGGAAACTTTTGCCCCACATAGATGCCTTGATACACAGCAGTTTATCTGCTTCACTGACCCCAAGCTGCTCCCGCTTGGGCCTCCCCAGCCCCGCTGTGGGTGCTGTAGGCCCAGCCCTAAAGGAATCCTATTGAGAATCCCCCTGACAGAGGCTCTTGGCTATTCCTCTTGCTCACCAGGGCCTCAAAGGGCTTGTTTCCTCCATTATTGCTGAGCTGGGACGTATGGCTCCTGCACCAGAATGCTCCCCCAACTCTGGGGCAGCAGGAGAGGCAAATCCCTTCTCCAGAATTCTCCCAGGTTGTGTAGGTGTCACCCTCTTGAACCTGGGAGCCTCCTGTATCCCTGGGGACCATGCGAGTCTAAAGTCATGGGTCTTGGACCTGTGCCCTGGGGATCATGTTTGAACCCTCGGGGGCCTAGAGCAGAAAGAAATCGGCTGTCTGGAGTCAGGCCATCTAAAAGGGGCAGAGGCCCCGTTCTCCATTCCTCAGAGAGGCACAGCATACAGCAGGGATGCCCGTGTCATAAAACGGCTGCCTCGCTTTACAGATGAGGTTGAGTTCCAGGGTCACATAGCTCCACCCGATTGGATCACAGGCGCATCTTCCCAAGGACCCCAGGGCCTGCAAGACCATTCAGAAGGGGACCGGCTGGCTGCTGCAGCCATCAGGGAGCGACTACACTTAACCCTCTTGTTCTGTTGCCAGTGGAAGCGCGAGCAGGACTTTGACCTGCAGTTGCTGGACCGCGCCGTGCAAGGGGAGAGGAAGGACGAGGAGGAGGATGGCTGGTTGAAAGTGCAGGCCGTGCCTGTCACTGAGTTGGACCTGGAGCCGCAAGACTATGACTTGGACATCAACAGAGAGGTGAGGGCAGGGGCTTCCTTCATGCTGCCCCAGGAGGCACGGCCCTCAGGCTCCCAGCCTGACCTGCCCTCCTCGGGGCCCTGGGGGGTGTTGTCCTCAAGTGGGGATAAGGCTCAGCTTCAGTGTGGCCCAGGAGACGGGATGGATAGCAGCTGAGGCAATAAAAGGAGCCCAGTGTTTCAATGCAGATTCAAATCTCTGTAATTTGGGGCAAGTCATGTACCTGCTCCGTGCCTCGGTTTCCTCAGTGGTGAAGTGGGTTGTGATGAGGATTCACTGATTCCATGGGCTGCCTGGAGGATCAGCAATGATCAGAGGCCATGAGCACCAGGCCTGGCACAGCGCAGGCATGGAGGGAGGTAGTTATTGTTAGGAGATGTTCCTTGCAAAACCCAGCCTTGGCCCTGCCACTGGCCTCTCAGGCCGACTTGGGCAATCAGACTTGAGAAAAATGGGCGGGTTTGAAAAAACACAGGTGACATTTCCAGCCAAGGCCGGAGTTATAGACCTGCATAGTTCTGGTTTGAATTCCTTTGGCGCCCTCTGGTGGCCCCAATGCATCATGACCGGCAGGCCTGGGGAACAAAGTAACCCCCGGTGGGGATTAATTACCTACAGATTCAACATGTCTCTACCTAGAAGAGAAAGGGAATCAGAGGGTGTCAGCTAAAGTCCTGAAGACATAGGGTGGTCTCCTGTGGCCTCCACTGTGTCATTTGTAAGCTCCTTAGGGCAGATTCTAATGGCTGGTTGGTTCACTTTTGCCCCTAACACCGGGCCAGCACATAACCGGTGCTCTGTAACTCTTTGCTGAATGAGGACTCTGTTGAATGAAACACAGTAGCCCACAGATATCCCAAAAACATTTGTACGAGGACTAGCCAGGCCTGAAGCTGCATGAGGAAATGTGCTCACCACACGAAGGGTAGACTTAGCAGTGTGGGGGGCAGATTGACGCCCCGGAGGATGAGTTCTGGGGTCAGCTGGAGCGCCAGGGGTTAATGAGTCCCCCGCCCTCAGACCTTTTGCCTCTGAAGCAGCCAAAGGTCGGTGCTTTCTCAGGTTCACAAAAGAAGCTTCTTCACGCTGCCCGGGCAGTGAGAGTGTATTCTGTGGTGTCCTCGTTGCCTGCCAGCCAGGGGAAACAGTCCTTCCTTATCTCTAACCTAAATCCCTCCGCTACAATGTAATCTACTTCCTTCCTCTGGATCTGCCCTCATTGGAAGCCACAGAGAAGAGCTTATTTCTTGTCACCTTTCACCAGAAGGAAAGGGCAGCCTGGGTTTAAATTCAAGTCCAGATTTGCCCTGGGATTGGATTTAGCTTGTTTTTAGAAGCTTCAACCAACCCCACTTTTTTTTTAAATCTAAGAAGACATGTTTTTTTTTATTGTTAACAACATGTATTTTACAATAGGACAAGGATACACAGACTAAAACAGCAGGGCTCCCCCGTGCAGCCCGAGCCACACCGGAAGCCTCTGAGAACCATTTAGTGCTCTGACAGCAGTTGTCACTCTCCTGTGCTGTTGTCGATCAAGGAGGGAAAATCCCCCAGGGCGTGCAAAACTGGCCTTGAGCAGTTTCAGCCCCAGCGACCCTGTCGAGACTATTGAAGCTGAGGCTGCTCCTGGGTTCCTGTGAAAGACTGGTGGGCAGGAGTTGGGACGTTTTCCTCTAGAAGGAAACAGACAAGCATAGCTGCCTCCTGTCTAGCTCAGAGGAGCTTTCGTAGGGACGGAAAGCACTGTTGCCACCCAGCCATCCCTCCACCTGCACACCTGCTCACCACCCATCCACCTACCCACCCACCCATCTACCAGCCATCCACCAGCCATCCAAGGAGTATTTGCTGAGGGCTACTAAGTGCTAGGTCCTTTTTCAGACAGCAGCAGGTTGTAGCAGGCAGGGTCAGAAGGCTCTCGAGGTGCAGGTGGAATGATGAGGCGGGGTCAGTGGAGCGAAGGAAGAGCATCCCAGGCAAGGATGGTCATTTCTGTCCTGAGGGCTTCTAGCCCAGTTGTTTTCCCTCCTGCTCCCCTCCCCTGTAGGAGGTTGTTGGGTGGAGTGGAAAGAACATGGTTTCTGGAGTCACACCCGGCTTCCGATCCTGACTCCTCAGTAGGCCGCCATTGGGATCTTAGCAAGCCCACCTCTGAGGGCAACGCAGGCTTCCTCGTGGTGAGGGACAGGGTATGGGAGTGGGTCCTGAATGCAGATATCCGAGCGCCACCCCTCCCCCCGCATGGCCTCCTGGTCCTCTCCTCAGCTGTCCAAACCTGAGAAGGTCTCCATCCCTGAGCGTTACGTGGATCTGGACCCCGAGGAGCCGCCCAGCCTGGAGGAGCTGCAGGCGCGGTATCGCAAAGCCGAGAAGATCCGCAGCATCCTCACCCGGTCCAGGTCAGCCCTCCCGCTGCCCGTGTCCTGCCAGGCCCCATCCCATGGGTGTCTCAGTGGAGTGGGCCTGGGCCAGGCTGGCTAGGGTGTGTGTGTCGCCAGCTTCCTCCCCATTGAAAAGGGCTGGCTGGCGCTCAGTGCGTCACCAGCACCTCATCGAGGAAGCTGGCCTAGGCCACCTGGGAAGCCCTCAAAGAGAAGGCCTCTCCTGTGTCCCGTGACCCTGGCACGTGTGGGGAGCGGAGCCAAGCACGGCTGTGACGGGGACACAGTTGGGGTTCCAGCATTAGGGCCGTGTGCCCTCAGACCCATAGACCAGAGCCAGGCGCCCCAGCCTTGGTCTGAGGCACCAGACTTTCCCACTTCCTGGGACACTAGGGCCCTAAGAAGTGGCTTCCCTGTTCCCTCAGCCTCCATAAACCTCATGTGTACGGGCCTTCCTCTCATAGCTCAGTTAGCTTTTGCACATCTGGATTTAGCGGGAGCCTAGAGCTGGCGCTCTGATCTTGAGTTCTGTGATTCCCCAAAGGAAGAGCAAAGCTGTGATTTTGGGGGTATTTGCGGAGAAGGATGCATACCTTTGTCTCCAAGCACGGCTGTGACGGGGACACAGTTGGGGTTCCAGCATTAGGGCCGTGTGCCCTCAGACCCATAGACCAGAGCCAGGCGCCCCATAAACCAAGACCTCCTGGTTCAAAGGTTGAAGCTCAACCACTGAGCCACGCCGGCTGGGCGAAAGTGCACTGCTCTTATCAATGCCCCCTACAAGGATAAGAGCCCCAGGCCAGGAGACCCCCTCCCCTGGAGGCAGATGGTAGGGTGGTGAGAGCCCACCATCTGCTCTCTGGCCGTCCTGCAGCATGTGCAACCTGCAGCCGGCCTCAGGCCAGGACCGGAGGAACAGCGTGGCCGACCTGGACTCACAGATACAGGAGCAGGAGCGCATCATAAACATCTCCTACGCCCTGGCCTCCGAGGCCTCCCAGCGCAGCAAGCAGGTCAAAGAGAAGGCCTCTCCTGTGTCCCGTGACCCTGGCACGTGTGGGGAGCGGAGCCAAGCACGGCTGTGACGGGGACACAGTTGGGGTTCCAGCATTAGGGCCGTGTGCCCTCAGACCCATAGACCAGAGCCAGGCGCCCCAGCCTTGGTCTGAGGCACCAGACTTTCCCACTTCCTGGGATGCTAGGGCCCTAAGAAGTGGCTTCCCTGTTCCCTCAGCCTCCATAAACCTCACATGTGTGGGCCTCCCTTTCAGAACTCAGTTAGCTTTTGCACATCTGGATTTAACAGGAGCCTGAACCTGGTGCTCTGATCTTGAGTTCTGTGATTCCCCAAAGAAGAGCAAAGCTGTGATTTTGGGGGTATTTGTGGAGAAGGACGCACACCTTTGTCTAT